GCAGGGAGCCCGATGTGGGACTCGATCCCAGGACCCTGGGACCATGACCTGAGCCGAAGGCAGACGCTTAACGACTGAGCCACCCAGGCGCCCAAACCCCGTTTTTCAAACTTCACTGCCAGTGGCCTGATTAAGATTGGGGGCTGGGGAGCAAGGGCCTTAATGAAGGTCTGGCCTTGACCCCTTACCCCTAGAGGTAGAGTATGCCCAAAGCAGTTGATTAGGCAGTCTGGTAGGAGTAAGCCAGGAGAAAGCCCGAGAGCTGGTGCAGAAAGGAAGGGATATTTACTAACAGGAGTTGTCTTTTTAAAAGTTTTTATTTTTGGCAATAAAGAGCACAACATAATCTCCTTCATGCGTCATCGTGCCACTAACTTGAGCCAGCCCTGCCTCGCTCTCCAAGGCCTTTGGCCCCAGGTTCCCATCTTCAGTCTAGTTTATTCCTCTGGGTGGTCATTCCCTGGGTCAGGTTTGGAGCTGAGCTGGCTGTGGCCCCCTCCCCGGATCCAGGGCTCTCTGGGAGGGGCCTCTGGCTGGATCCTCCTGTCACAACTTGAATAGTGGTTATTTACAACAAGGTCTGTTCCCATAACTCAGAACCCTAAAGTATTAAAAAAAAACCCACACACGCAACCCAAGGTTTGATGGGAATAGAAAGATAGCCCTTCTGCAAGGTAGTCAATAAATACCAGCACTAGAAAATCAATTGCTTTTAATTGCATTTCAGCAGGGAGCCTCAGCACCATGTGGGGAAGAGGAAATGGGAAGGGCTCGGTTTCTGAGTGCTTTTGGCTGGCCAGAGGGGGGCTCCCTCTGCTGGGACATCACCTACCCTCGGTCAGTGGGGGGGGGAGGGGGCGGGCAGCAGGGGTGCTCCCCACGGCAGTCCTGCCGCAGCCTGCCCTCCGGCAGGGAAGAGCTCGGGACTGGCTGCCCTCCGTCTGGCTGAGGGAACCAGCACCCCTGGCCCTGGGGGATCTTCTCAGCCTATGAAGCGGGAACGAGCCTAGGCAAAAATTACATTTTAAAACCAGATTTTCACCTGAGGTGTCAACCAGCTGTCACCTCTGCTCAAAGCTCTCAAGTGCAAGGCTGCGAAGTGGCACCGTGGAAGCTGATCCTTCCCGTGCCACATGAGGCCCAGAGGAACAGAGAAGCCACCTGCTGTCCTAGCCCCTGGGGTGCTCGGGGAGAGCCAGTAGTCCCAGCGCCAGCCTCGAGCTCTCCCCTCCTCTGGCCCCGGCAGCTCCAGCCCGTCCCGGCAGCGGGAGGGCTGTCCCACAGAGGACGGGACTGCTGCCCTCACGCTCAAAAACAGCCTTGACGAGGACCTGGTCATGGGATTAAAAAATGTGTATGTGGTGGGGAGGGAGAAAATCTCATTAATACAGAATATGTCATAAGCCATATATATTAAAATCCTTAACAGTATACAGTCCCGCAGGAGCTGCAGCCCTCACACATGCTCTGGTGCTGGGGCCAGCCCTGTGCCTTGGTCCAGGCTCACCCCTGGGGGCAAGGAAGGGACAGCTTGCTCCATGGCTCTGGGCTCTGGGCCGGCAGCCCCCAGCGGCTGTCCACGGTACGCCGCGGGCCGTCCTGCGGTGCACCGGCCCTGCCGTCACTGGGCTGGGGTCTTGGCCTCGCTGCTGTCCCCCTGGCTGGGCTTTGGCTTTAGCAGGATGAACCGGTTGAGGAGGTCCGTTTCGGAGCTGGCCTGGGCTGCCCCGTACCCCTCACCTGTGGACACACAGGCAGGCTCAGGCCTCAGGGGCAGGTCCGAGGAGCCCTGTGCAGAGGGCCTCGTCCTCCCCAGCCCCGTGGCAGGGGAGCGGGGGGGGCACGGCGGGGACTCACCGGTGTAGCTGGAGGCCTCGGCCATGTTCTGGGAGCCCGTGATGTGGTGCCAGTAGGCGCTTCGGGGCAGCATGGCGGTGGGCGTGCAGGGGTACGAGTAATGTTCTGTGCCCTGGTTCAGCAGCTGCGGGGCAGAGGCCCTCCCTTCAGCTCTGGGGGCCATGGCTGCCTCCCAGCCGTCAGCCCTACGGCCTGCCCCCCCCGGCTTCCCCGGCTCCCCGGACTGGCTGATGCCCAGAGCCTCACCCGCACGTTCTTCTCCATCTCCAGCAGCACGCGCTTGTGCTGCTCAGCGATGGCCAGGGTGGCACTGTGGACCCGCTGGTAAATCTGTTCCCCTTCCTGGGTCTGGAAGGTGTAGAGCCCTTCCCCAGCATCGCACATCCTAGGGATGTGAGAGGCACAGAGGGCGGCGTGGTGGGGGCCGCACCACACACTGGCCGCACCCCGGGCCCTCTGGGGAACAGGCAGGGCTGGCGGCCGGAGGGCCGTCCGCACAGCCCAGACATGCCGGGCCGTTTGTGGGTACCAGGTGGGCTCAGTGCTTGACAAGAACCCGCCCACTCGGTCTCTCTCGCCCCTCTGGTCTGCGCACCGTCAGCCTTCCTCCGTCTGAGCTTTCTCGAACCAGTTTGCAGATGAGGAAACAGGCACGCAGGCAGTCAGTAAGCAAACCCGGGTCATACAGAGGATTCCGCAGCATGTACGTCGAGGCCCGCTGGCTGCGGAGTTCAAGCTATAGGTTGCCCGGTCCTCACTGTAATGCTACGAGGGGGCGTACTTTTCTGATGCCCTATTCGGCAGTGAAGAAACGAAGCCCCTGCCCACAGACACAGCTGTAAGCCCCGGCACCCGCTCTGACTTGAGCCCAAGCAGCTTGACTTTGGTAAATAGCTGCGCCCTACCTGCCTGCGTGAGCCTTGACGTGTTCATCCGTAAAATGGGAATCTTACATTCCCTTCTGGTTTTCTGTGCTGATAGATAACTAAAGCTCCCAGCACCGTGCGTGACCGCGGTGGGTCAGGGCAGGGAGGCGAGAGGGTCCTACCGGCCAGCCTCGAAGGTGAAGCGCGTGGCGTCCCGGCCGTAGCGACGCAGTGAGCACAGGGGCCACGAGACGAGCTTGGTGCGGGGGTTGTGTACGTCCCAGAGGTAGATGTTCTCGTGGGTGATCTGCAGCTTGCACTCGCCGTACACGTCCAGGTTGGGGCAGGGCAGCAGGAAGACGTTGAAGCGGTCTGCAGAGGGAGAGGAGCAGGCCTGGAGCCTCCCCAGGGGAGGACCCCCCCCCCCCCCGCCGCTGCCCCTTGCCAGCGCCAGGTCTCACCTGTCTGCTCACACTGCACCCCCGGGGCCAGGAGGTCCGGCTCGCCCAGACTGATATCGTTGAGTCGCGAACCCAGACACTCCACGGACAGCGTCTTGTACCATTCCTCCGCCTCCAGCTCTAGAGAAAGGGGTAGCTCGTGCCAGCCCAGGGTCCCCCAGCAGCCCACCCCATCTGCCTCAGCTTGAAGTATTCCCACCATGCAGGGCAGGGAGGGCAAGGCCAGTGGGTTCTGCCTGCCTGTCCCACCTCATCCTGGCGACCTGCTCCCTCAAAGGCCGCCCCCTACTTTCACCCCCACTCATCATACCCAGCCAGGGCTGGTCCTGCTCTGCCTCCTCCCGACTGGACCATGACTGGCCCCGGGGAAGGCTGGACGGAAGCCCGCAGCCCCAGCTCCTCACCTGAGTCGCAGGTGAAGGTACGCGCCGAGTCGTCAGTGAATATGATGGCCACCGCCTGCCTCTTGGTCTCCTTGGGGAGCCGCGTGACACACTTGACATTGCTGATCTCGGTCACCTGGGACAGCGTCCACAAGGGACTGAGCCAGGCTGGAGAGCCACCCTCTACATCCCCCCCCCCAGTTGTGCCACCCCCAGGAGGGTGCTCGCGGACCTCAGGACTCAGCAAATCATCACTGCTACAGACGGGGAGCTAGGGCCCAGGCCCCCCTAACCTTGGGGCAGCCTCGGAGGCACACTGACTTCTCATCCGGATACTTCTCCAGCCGCTGGGGCCCCTTGCTGGAGGATTTCCGGAACACCAGCCAGCACCTCCGGTAGATCTGTGGGGTGAGACAAGATGGCGGGGGTGGGGGGTGGGGGGGTCAGGCCTCCTGGGACCACTGCCGCCCACATGGCCCTGAAGTTACCCTTGCCTACCGCAGGGGGGCAGTGCTACCCAGCCTTCCCCGGAGACCCAGCCCAGGAGATAACCTGGGGATGGCAGACACCAGCAGTGACACCCCTTGGGGGACGGCCCCCTCCCCAAATTGAGAAAGCAGGCATTTCTTTGCTGGCTCTGAAAGGCTGTTCCACAAAAGGTACTCTGAGTCACCAAGTACTGTGCGCTCAGCTCTCAGTTTAACAGAAATAGCCAACCAGCATTTACTGAGTGCTTCCCATTTGTACTCAGCACTCTTCACAGTTAACCTCAGGGTCACTCTGGAGGTTGGTTTATCATCTGCACTCTACAGATAGGGAACTGAGGCACCAAGAAGTTAAGTCACAGCTGATAAATGTTGGGGCCAATATTTTAAAAAGGCTGGCTCGGCCCAGAGCTGATACATGGAGCCCACTGCATAAACATGCTGTCCAGGACTCGGCCGTGTCCGCCACAAGGGAGGGCGTGTCCTAGGGACAGGGACTAGACCCTTGTGCGGGCTCACAGCCTGCACATCACCCCGGCCCTTGCTCTCAGAGCCGGCGGAGGACTCTGGATGTGGATCATACCCGCCCCTCCTGTCCCTGGCCGCCCTCTCTTCATTCTCTGACACCCTGGACTGTAGGGGGCCAGGATTAGTTCCCTGTTCAGTTGGGAAGCCAGAGGCTCTCAGGTAAAGGGGCGGTGCCAAGAACCCGGGGTCACCCCAGAGCACGGGGCCTTCCCAGGCACGGATCCCTCCTGTCCAACCCCGCCAATGACCCTGTGCCTAAGACCGCCTACATTCTCTGCAGCTTCATGCACTCCTCCCGACAGAGGAGCCAGGGGCAAACCGGCTTGGCAAAGCCTAGCCACCTGCCCAGGCTGCTGACTTTTCCTTCCCGGCCCCCTCAATCCCACGCTCTCTTCCAGCCCAGAGTCTGGCCGGGATGCACCCACTCTGTCAGCGAGCACTCCAGAAGCCTGGCACAGCCCATTCCCAAGGAATCTCCGGTTCACCCTCTTACTGGCAACCGTCGGGAGGCGGAGGGGAGCCCGAGGGGAGCCAGAGCAGAACAGAGCAAGCAAGGTGGCCAGAGCCCCAAGCCCGCGGCCCCTCCACGGCCCGCTCTGCCATGCGGCCACCAGGTCCCCATGCCAGGAAACCACTCAGAACCATTAATGGCTCCTATCTGGGGCTCTAGGAGGCATGTCTGCCCCAGTCCGCATGGCCCTGGCGCCACCCCTGGCCTGGCCGCCTAAACCACAGCAGCCCCAGGTCTCCACTGGGCAGCTCCTCTAGGCCAGACTTTTCCTCTCAGAATCTGCCCTCCCGTCCCGGTAACCTTGCCAGCACAGCTCTGCTGAACGAGTGAAGGACCATACGAAGAGCCCGTGAATGAACGCACGGACCAGTGAATGAGCCTACCAGCTCGGGCTCCGTGCGGCCTGCGGCGTGGGGGCAGAGGCCCAGGGCCTGAGCACCCTGGTTGCCTGGTTACACACACACACACCCACCCACACCCCACCCCGGGAGCCACTGTGCTCAAGAGCCCTCTTTCCCCACTTCTCATGGTCTTTGATCAGCACTTCCGAACTCTGCCATAGCTCTGCCAGACGAAGGCCCTGGTGGGGAGAAGGGTCTGCCCCCCTCTCTTTCCGCCCCTCCCACCTCACCTTTGTGAGCCGAGACAAGAAGGGCCGCCCTGGGACAAGAATGGCCGGGTGACTGAGCCCCTCACATCAGACCTGCAGGGGGAAGCTGAATCCCCCAGGCAGAGGGAGACCCAAATTGGGTCTGGCCACAGCCCACACCCCGGCTCCCAGCCCCTCGCTGTGCCCACCTGCAGGCCACTTGGTTCCCAGGTCTCCTCCTGGAACAGGTCCGATACTGAGCCCAAGTGGCGGCCTCAAGGGGCTTGCCTTTCTGGTAAGCTCTGCCCAGTACAGGGCCTGGGCCCAAATAGCCCCTGGCGACCGGCTAGACCCCGGCCCACAGGAACGAGGAGCCATACTAGAAGCTGGGCCCCTACTCCCTTGGGCCCCCACCTCAGCTTCAGCTTTTCTCCTTGTTCTGTGCGCCAGGTGGGCTCCCCTCTCCCCCCGCCCCCGCTCAGCACAACAGCAAGGCGGCTGATGCCCACCAGGGCCCCGTCTCCCGGGCTGGAACCCAGGTTGGGATACAAATTCAAATCCAGCCAAGCCTCCCGACGTGCCCACAGCTCAGCCACTGCACTCGGCCTGGACAGCACACACCCCACAGGGGCCGCAGGGCCACAGACGGGGAGGAGGGGCAAGAACCACCCTTCTCTAAGGCCAGCCCTGTTCAGTCTGGTATCCGGGCAGGGAAGCCGTATGAGCGCTCTACTCCTCCCCCACCCCACTCAGGCTGAGCCAGGAAGCCTTGAGCACTCCGATCCCACCCCACCGCCATCAGGGCAATGGGGGAGGGGAGGGAGAGAGAGACAGGGAAGGGGGGGGCGGGAAACAGACTTCGGCCAACTCCGTTGGGAGGGTTACCTTCCTACTGGGGAGGGTGCGGCTACCAAGACCCCTCATTGGAGGTGTGGGAGGGTGGGCAGGGGAAGAGAGGCAGCTCTTGGACAACCTCACCAAGATCACTAAGTTGGTCCCCGGAGCCCCTGCTCAGGCCCTGCAGGGCGGGCGGAAGAGGTGTGTCTGAGGCCTCATCCCCACAGACCCGCTGAGCCCCCAGCTCTGGGCCAAGCACCCCGCGAGCAAGGAGCCTCCGCCAACAACTTGGGAGGCAAGCAGCCTGTCCCAGAGCCACCGGCCATCCTGCCCTAATTTCCCATTCATAAGCCACATGAATACCAGCTTCTGCACCCTCCGCGCCCTCCCACCACTGCCCTGCCCCGCCCCGCCGGCGACCGCTCTCCTCTCCCAACACTTCTCTAACAGTGAGAGCAATAACCAAAAGAAATACCGAAGGAGCCGCACACAGAAAGCCACGGGCGGCTGGGGGAGACGACGGACGTAAAGGAGGCCAGGCGAGGGGAGGGGAGACGCGGGGCGGCGAGGCCGGGAGGCGGCGGGGTGTGGG